TGCAGACAGCCATCTCCCCACACTCACAGGCAGGTTTGGGAAGGGCAGGACTGTCCTGTCATCTCCTCCTCAGCACCGCTGGTGGCATTGTGGGTCTTGCACCATGCCAGCAACCAGCCTTTCCTTTGATCTCTGGGTGTCCCCTTCCCAGCGCTGTCCTAGCCAGGGCAACACCAGCAACCTAAGCTCAGTACCAGCTACTGTTAATGGCCATGTAAATTCATTTTATTTTGCACTCAGATGACATGGTATCTGTGTCTGAAGGATCAGGAGGTGTGAGATGAAGGGCCACTATCTCCTGTAACCACCGCAGTGCTGCCCATGGGAGCACCCCTGTCCCTGCCTGCGTGTGCCAGGCACCAGGGCAGCTCTTCCCAGGGGAAAAGGAGAGAGCTGCATCCACACAGAGGTCCCATCACATTCACATACCTGAACCCCTGCCTGCAGCACTCCTGCTTTGGTGAAAGAGGACAACCTAACCAGAAGAGCTACAAGGCTTGACCTCCCTTGCAAATACAATCCAGGTCCTCACACCTCTGTGGGCCAGGGTCGAGGACAGATGCCTGCTGCCACTGGCTTTAGGCGGCTCATCTCTGAGCACGTGTGAGAGCCCTTTTATAAGGTTGTCCTCCCCCTTTTCCTCCAGCAGTGAGATTGCTCAGCTTTAAAGACTTGTTTTCCCAGGAAGGGAGAGAAGCTGCTGGAAGCCGAGTAGCGAGGGCACAGCAGGGCAGGGAGAGCATGTTTGGAGGGTATTACCGGTGGGAGGGGTGTGCCAAGGAAGAAAGCTGCTTCCAGGGATCTATATATATATACAGCTCCCTGAGGTGGGGTTACAGAGAGGCTCATTCCCGGGCTGCCTGCGGCACTCCCTGAACAGCAGCCAGAGCTGCCTCCGAGCCGCACGCTTTAGTTTCAGAGCATGGCCTTGAGCATGGGTGTGGCTGTAGTCCCTGCAGGAACAAGAGGATAAGCTGCCCAGGGTTGCTGCAGCGCTGGAGGTTTGTGCACTGCTGGCCCCAGTTTTGTCCCAGGCACTGTAGTTTCAAGGCTGACAGGATGCCCTGGACAGGGAGAAGGAGACTCCCTGGGCAATAAAAGGTTTCTCCATCATCTGCTCATCTCCATCACATGCAGTGCACAGTCCAGCGGGAGCCAGCAATACTCCCAGCTTTCCCTGCTGCATGGCAATCAGAAGCTGCTTTATTTTTCAGGTCCTGAACAAATAAAAACCAGAGCCTTTGCCAGCTGCAATTATAACTAATTGCGCAGGCTTCAAGCTGGACCCTTTTGGTCTCCTCAAAGGCTGTTCTGCCCCTGAAGGACTGAAGAGGATCCCCAAAGCTGCCAGCAGTTCCCAGGAAAGAGCGGAAGGCTGGGGGTTGCTCCGAACAGCCCCGTCACTAAAGCTGCCCACCTTGACTGGCACTTGTCCCGCGTGGGAGTCCTCCACACCAGCACCGCCTGCAGTTGTCCATCAGGTGATCAACAGGCTACAGTCACCCTCATATGCTCCTTTTTCCAGTCCTAGGGGATGCACCATGAAAATCTATACACCTGAAAAGCTGTTTTAATTATTTTTTAAAGACAAACGCCTGTTTGATTGAAAAAGAAAGAAAGAAACCTAATAGGCAATGTTCCATTTGATTCAATTTTTCTGTGGGTTAATGAAAAAGCGTTGAGCAACTGTGCTTTGAAGGACTTAATTTTAATGCTTCGCCTTCAAAAATAAAAATCATCACAGAACATGTTGCTTTGCAGTTTCCTGTGAAAAACAATGGTAATTTTGAAGTGGCCCCTATTTTGTCCTTTTACTAAATCTCATTGAATAAACATTATTGGCCAAATATATTGAGCCATATCAGGAGATTCACAGTCAACTGAGTACGCAGTGGAGCTGCACTGGTGTCAGCGCTAAGGGGGTGTTCAGGTCCCCCTAGCAAAGTCAGACCCAATAAATGCCATAGGGCAAAGTGCTTTTTGTTTCTGAAGTCTTGGAGCCCCAGGGGAGAAGTGCATTGGGGTGCCAATTCCCTTTCCCAAACAGGGGACACAACCATGACATTTTATGTGAGGTCCTGGGCCATGTTCTGCTCTCTGTGCAATACAGATTATCACATTAGCAAAATCTCTATCAAAATGAAATTAGGAAGCACTTTCAGTGCCCTAATCCTCTCCATGTTTCCCTTAGTTCTTCTGCTCACATGCTCCCTCAAGCCTGTCCCTCAGAACCCAGGTTTTCCCTGTTACTTAGCTTCTTAAATAATTTTGCTAACAGCCCAGACATTTGCAGACCTGGGGAAGTTTACATCAAACCCCAGTCATGGCTGTGTCTTCCGAGCTCATTTAAACAGCCCCACATAATTTTTGTCCTCTCAAGCACTCTTTCTTTCTCCAGATTTTCCATCCCTTGGTGATATTTGCATCCAGGGCAGCTTCTTGCATTGCCCACCGGGTGCAACTGTGGAGCCAAGCTATGGAGGGCTATCCTGAACTGGTCTAGTCCCAGGTGTAGCAGGCTGTGGAGCAAGCAGTGAGGTATGGCCTCAGAGGATGCTCTTGGTGCAGGCAAGAGTCATTCTGCCATTACCCTTCCTCCCATGGCACATCAGTGTCCTGCATCCTTCCTTCTATTTATTTTTGCTTTGCCTCTCTCAAAACAGAGAATGCTGATCCTTGCAACCCTTTGCCTGCTGCCAACAGCAGTGTTACAGGTGCAGGGAGGATAATTAAATTATTGAGAAATGCACAACAAAGACCAAACCCAGACTGCTGTGCACAAGCGAAATTTCCCAAAACACCTTCCCAACAGCAGGGCTTGCCAGCCATGTGAAAAGCCCACTGACCTGTTTCCAAACAATCTGTGTCTTCAGTTGCTGAAAATCCCAAGACCAAATAAAAGGCTGGTTTAAGATTAAAGAATGTGTTTTAGTTTGAAATTAAAACCTGAACAGGTTGGGGTTTGTAGACATAAAAAATTCTTGCATCTCAGTTCATTTATTGAGCAACGAATATGACAAAACAGTCATTTTTTTCCAGCTGTAAAAATGCACTTTTGGGCATTTAACTTCAACAGGATGCAATTGGCACTAAGACTACCAATGCTGTGGATTAGTACAAGACAAAATGCTGCTGTTAGAGACAGCAGACAATGAGATGCCACTGGCAGCATCAGCCTCTCTGCACGAGGCAGTGCCTGTGCAACACCCTGGCTGCTGGAGGATTGCACTCTGCCTGTGAATAGTCTTAAATCCAAGTTTGGCACTGCAAAATCTAGGTCTTCATTCAGAGGGAGCAAGCATCCCCTGCTCTCACTGATTTTGATCAGGCTGAAGGCAGGTGGCTGGCTCAGCATCACTCCCCCCAAAAATCAGCTCCCTTCTGTTGTAGGCTTAAGATCCTAACTAATCATGCGGGTGGAAAAGCTGAGTCTGTGCTGCTACCCCACAGCAAGTGCTGGCTAATCCATAAGGCTGCTTTTCTAAGTTATCTTTTATCTGTGCTTCTAAAGCAGCCTTTTAATCAAATAACAGAAAGAAGTCCTAAAATCCATCTCGTACCACCACTTAAACCACAACTGAACCTGAGATGAGGGGTCAGGTACTGAAGACTTAATGCTAATTAAGCATCTTCCCAAATCTCAACACAGAGCTGTCAGATGAAATATGTGCCACTATGCAGCAACTTGCACATGCAGCAAGTAAAGGCTCATGTTTGGTTTTTAAGAAGCAACCATATTCCTGCTTTCCAGTCCAGCCCCAGCCACTCAGAGAGGGATCTTGGCTCAGAAGCCCCTAGGGCTGCCTGCAGGCCTCCCTGCCCCCAGATACCAGGGAAGGATCAGGCCAGCTTCTCCTGCAGGCTTCTCCTTTGGGATACGGCTACAAAAAAGTGTACTCACGTATGGGTCTCAATTTAATGAAGGTAAAACCAGCCAAAATGCAAAACAAGTGCACCTTTGGCATAGGCACAGCAGATAAAAAAATCCTTCCTGGGCTGGAAGTGTAGCTGAAAATCATCTTTATTTTTTTTTTTTTTTCCCCAGCACTGCTGTCTCCCACAGTACAAGGACACCCTGAAACTTAAGCACTGCTTTCCTGCCAGGGCCCTGTGCCCCAGGAGGAGCCCTCCTCCAAAAGGCTGCCTGCTCCTGCACATGTGCCCTGACCCAGGGAGCTGTGCCAAGCTTAGGGTGGTTGCCTGAAGGAACTGGGCACCTGGCAGGGGAACGGGGGGGTGGGGACACACACTGGAAGCAAAGGGGGGCCCCAGAGCCTCCCACCACAGTAAGAGAGAAGTGAGAAAGGCAGGAGCAGCATCCCCACCTCCCACCCTGCTCTCTCTCCTCATAGGCAAAAAGGGCAGGAAAACAGCTGTGGCAGGGGGAAGCCCCTGGGATTTTCCTCTGGGCTCCCCAGGAGTCCCTGTGTGAAGGATCGGGCCCTGGGAGGGCAGAGGAGGGGGTGGTCCCGTTGCAGGCAGCCCCTCCTGTGTGACCAGGGGCAAGGGCAAGTGTGTCAGGCAGGGTGAGGAAGTGGCCCTGGCTGCCCTCGGCCCCCCAGGGACAGCCGGCCCTTCAGGCGGGTTTCCCATAAGTGGAGTGGAAAGCTCTTTAATTAACCTGCAGCCGCGACCTGCCCTCAGCCCCAGCCTTGCCTCCATCCATCACGCCTTGAAGCTGCACGACCGTGCCAGGGCTACTTTTTTGGCAGGCTGAGCCAAATAAAACCCTTCGCAAGCCAAGGCTCCAGGTAACCCTTTACCCCCCTGGGTCTAGGAGGAGCATGCTGCAGAGCAGCGGGCCCCCCCTTTGCAGTGGCTGTCTGCACCCTCAGCCTCAACACAGAGCTGGCTCCTGCGGCTGGAGATCTGTCCCCTTCCCTGCCCTCCTCCTGCCTGGGGGGGTGCAGCCCCACCACCCACCGCCCTCACTGTTAGATGACACACCCTATGTCAGCGAGTGATGTAAGAACCCAAGGAAATGACAACAAACAACCGCATTAGGGGTGTGACAGAATGACCGATGATTTAATGCTTCTTGAAGTTTTTGTTTCCTTCCACAGGGCATTGGTTTTAAAAACAAACAAAACGAGGTAAAATAAATTAATTTATGTACACTTTACATACACTGTGTCACGTGGAGCTTTGGAGCAACAGTAACCAGAAATTGTTACAAAATAGAAAGTTACATGGCTGTTGCAGGTCCTCTGCAGCCTGCAACCTAGAAGGCTGTCATCCTGAGCGTGGTTGGCAAAGTGATCATGTAAACATGTTTAGAAGCATTTACGGTGGACAATGGATGGGCCAGCTTCATCATACTCCTGCTTTGTGATCCACATCTGCTGGAAGGTGGACAGGGAGGCCAGGATAGAGCCACCGATCCAGACAGAGTACTTGCGCTCAGGTGGGGCAATGATCTAGAAAAAGCCAAGAGAGCCGAGATCCGTAAACAAGCAACCACTGCAGGGGGCAGGCACAGGGGTGTGCACAGCCCGCGCACTGTCTGCAGGAGGGAAAAAGAAGGCTGCTCCTGCATCTGTGTCCTTCATGCTCCAGCCTTACCTTGATCTTCATTGTGCTGGGGGCCAGGGCTGTGATCTCCTTTTGCATGCGGTCAGCAATACCTGGGTACATGGTGGTACCCCCAGACATGACGTTGTTGGCATACAGGTCCTTCCTGATGTCAATGTCGCACTTCATGATGCTGTTGTAGGTGGTCTCATGGATCCCAGCGGATTCCATACCTGGCAGCAGGGAAGGGGAGAAAAGGAGGCACAAGTTAAGCCAAAGTGAGAGCTCTACGGGAGGACTCAGGAGAGAGCCGGAAGAGGAAGACAGAGGGAGGGGGGCACACACACCAATGAAGGAAGGCTGGAAGAGGGTTTCTGGGCAGCGGAAACGTTCGTTGCCAATGGTGATGACCTGCCCATCAGGCAGCTCGTAGCTCTTTTCAAGGGAGGAGGAAGAGGCAGCAGTGGCCATCTCGTTCTCAAAGTCCAGCGCCACATAGCACAGCTTCTCCTTAATGTCACGTACAATCTCACGTTCAGCTGTCAGGGAAGAGTAGAGGTGTCAGCAATTGCAAAGGAGGAACAGGGAACGCCTGCATCTCCTCCATAGGACTGCTGGGACTCCAGACCCCCAACCACACGCAAACTCCCAACAGGGAGAGCGCTCATGGGGCTTGCAGTGGGGCCAGAGGCTGCAGCATCCCTGGAGGTGCAAGGGTTGGAAGTGAGGGGGGAGGGAATAGTGCTTACCTGTGGTGACGAAGGAATAGCCACGCTCAGTCAGGATCTTCATCAGGTAGTCGGTGAGGTCCCGACCGGCCAGATCCAAGCGCATGATGGCATGGGGCAGGGCGTACCCTTCATAGATGGGGACATTGTGTGTCACACCATCGCCAGAGTCCAGCACGATACCTGGGGAAACAAGAAGCAGCCACCTGAGATGCAGCCCACAGAGGGCCCTGCCCCGGCAGGCAGAGAACTTGTCACTGTAGGGGACCAGTCCTGGGCGTCCTTGCTTGGGGAAAAGGGCCAGCGGGACACTCGCACTCACCAGTGGTACGGCCAGAGGCATACAGGGACAGCACAGCCTGGATGGCCACGTACATGGCAGGGACGTTGAAGGTCTCAAACATGATTTGGGTCATCTTTTCACGGTTGGCTTTGGGGTTAAGGGGGGCCTCAGTGAGGAGGGTGGGGTGCTCCTCAGGGGCGACACGCAGCTCATTGTAGAAGGTGTGGTGCCAGATCTTCTCCATGTCGTCCCAGTTTGTGATGATGCCATGTTCAATGGGGTACTTCAGGGTCAGGATACCTCTTTTGCTCTGGGCTTCATCTCCTACATAGGAGTCCTTCTGACCCATACCCACCATGACGCCCTGCAGGGGAGGAAAGTGGGGGCTCAGCGACCTCTCCGTGGGCAGCACCACAGGGTTCCCCAGCAGGCTGGGAGGCAGCGGGACCCCACGACTGTGGCAGGGCTTGGGGGGAGGCTCGGAGGGGGACAGCACCGTACCTGGTGGCGTGGGCGGCCCACGATGCCCTGCCGGGGGCTCGGCAGGCCTGGGGCGGTGAGGGGCCTTCGGCTGCACGGCCGCGACTTCACGCGGCCCCGAATTTTGGGGCTGCAGAGGGAAATACGGTCCTCCTGGACCTGGTGTGTAGTACAGGTGAGCGCCGGGGGGATGAAGGGGAGCCATGGGAGAAGGCGGAGACGTAGATCTGTGGTTTGAACACGCCGCCATCCTACGTGGCAACAGCCTGTGTAAAAGCCATGGCTTTACACGCCGAGTTAAGCCATGTGTTTTTTCTTTGCTGTGATTTAAAAATGGAAACTAAACACAGGGGGTACTTAGACAAATGCCTCAAGAGAAACCCGCTGAAGCATTAATCCCGGTGACCACATGATCCCAGAAGCCTGACGTAGCTGTGAATGCTGGTGCCATTACCGAGTACCCATTGCTGGCCGGTGAGGTCGGCTGGGCAACAGGGCATCCTCCAGCTATCCCTGCAGCTCACTCTTTCCAAAAGGGCCACAGCTTCACAGGCAAGTCATCTCTGATGAGCTGAAGATACTGGGCAAGTGAAGAGGTACAGTTCATCTCCTTCAGCTATGGATCTAAGCAGAGATTCCACGTGGAACACTTGGAAGATTCTATACAGAAATCCTGGTTACTGATGGAAGAAAGAGACACTAACACAAGCAGATTTGCAGCCCTGCCAATGAGTCGATGCACAGAATCATATCAACCTCAAGACCTTCTCTGAAGGCACAACCGGGGTAAAGCCTTTTAAAATTTAGCAGAAGGGAGCCAGGAGAGGAGGAAGAAGAAATGGTAAGCCAGAAGTGCTCATGCTATGAGGAGTCTCCTACAAGTGAAGGCATTTCTGCAGCTGATTTCTTCCACTGCAAGGCAGAGCAGATGGGTCAAAAAAGCAGCAGACAACTTTTCTTCTTCTCTGTTTAATTTCTGCATCCTCCAGTTTGGCAGCATTCCTCTTTACCTCTGGCAGCTCTCAATTTCATTCTGCTATAGATTTTCCCTGACAAGTTATTGTATTAAAATACGCTGGGAATAAAACATTCTATTCTCTCATACTGTTCTTCAACTTCTTGTATTCTTCAGTTCTGTCATCAACAACTTGCATACAAAAATTGGAAGCCCGAAAGCACTTAAAGGCATCGCGGCCATCGAATCTGTTCACAGAACTGCAACACTCTGTTGTGGTTTCCAAAATATGGACAGTTGTGTTGAATCAGAAATGAAGTAACAGAAACCCTAACATTGCTGAAAGATAAACATTCTTAATCCTTCAGTGAAACCTGATGCAAGCATAAACCCACTATACCCCTTGTTTCTTCTAATTTTTTTCTCTGCCCCAATCTCGTTCACAGCAAAATGCCCAATGGCAATGTTAAATTCTTACAGTTCTGTGTGAAAGATTGTTTTCCACAGGTAAGTCTGCTATTTAACTGGACTCATGAAATGAATTTGGTTTTGGTCCCAGGTCAGAACACATTTGAAGTTAGTTTCCAGAACAGAGCTGGGCACAAAGAGGAGCACTATCCATAACACGCAGCTTCCGAAATTGATCACCAATGACAACTGATAAGCCTTCCTGCTACTCTGGTGGCAACAGAGGATAGAATTGTGGACATCCCATACTCTGTGTATTTTCCATTGCTGAGAAAACAACTATTTAAGAAGCAATGTATACTTCCTTATTCAAAAGCAGCTATTCATGCTCCTTAAGCCATTTTAACCAAAACCTGAATCTTTTTGTTCCAAGTCATTTGTTTTTGTTACACTTGGAGACAACCTAGAGCTCTGGCGTGACCTTTGATGTGCAGTGGTAAATGAAGGCATCCTCCCTGTACAGTAACTATGAGACAGGATTTCTGCACCAGAACAGCTTATTGCATCATGAGGCAGAGGACGGAGAAGAGGAATAGCCCCAAATCCCAGCCTCTTCAAGCTTCCCAACAGAATAGTGAACCAGCTCAACATTCCTCGTACAACAACATTAAACATCAGTTTAGACATAGAAGTTATTTTAATGAGGTTTTATTTAAGTAAACTCACTGCCTGTAGCCTTCTGTTTTGGCAATAGTCGGATGGAAAGCCGTTGTACAAATGCCAAATGCCTCCCAACCCAGCAGTAGAATAAAACATTAGTTGCAAAGCCTACACGGCTGATCATTTACCAAGGACCTGGAGAATGCTTTTACACCAGCTGGAATAAACCCGTGCCAGCAGAGAAGCCAGGCACTCTCAGATGGACAGCTAAGGGTGAACAGAAACTGCTGCTCCTGGAGCAAGACTTCCAGGGCTTCCCCTGCCGCTCCTGACAGGATACAGGTGGTTGACAGTCTAAGAAGGAATGAGATATCCCCGAAGTGGCTTACTGCAGACAGTCAATTACAGATTCTTCACACGAAGTTTAAGAGTCTAGTAAAAATTTCAGGTAGAATATATTTCAGCAGGAGGGGGAAATAATTTGGATTATTCCCTTTCTCTCAAAATGTTAAGTTTATCAATAACGTGAAACCACCTTTAAAGTGCCATCTTAACAAGCATGTAGAATTCTTCTAAGCCTTTAAATGACTCACGCCACTCCTTTGCAGCCGCAGCTGAGAGATACACCGACACTTTCCTCTCAGCCACACAAGGCTGCTGAAGAGCAAAGTTCGCTTCTTAGAACAATCTTAGAAGATGACTGCTAGTGCATTTCTTTCCCATATTAGTTAGAACCTCTCCAGATAAATCTATTCTTCCAAACATGTTCAGACTCTCAGCCCAGCTTACTGTATTAGTACAGGGAGCAGGGGAAGCCACGGAAGGGGAGCTGTGCTTTTAAAACTAGAAACTGGATTCTCTTCAACCAATTTAACTTCTGACCTTCTCAGCTGTTGGATCAAGTTGTTGCAGCAGGCATCGAGCCAGACAAGTAAAACATAAGGGCACACAAGTTGCTCTGCATTCACTCTCTGGCTGGCAAGCTACTTGCAAAAGAACGGTGCAGCATGTCAGACTAAAGTAACTTTTATTTAAAGATGAAAATCTGCTGCCAATCAATAATTAAAAGTAAAAAGATAAATGGATTATTTCTTAATTCCCATGTCAGAGATCACTAATTGGGACAGCAGGGGTAGAAATAATTAGTAGCATCAGCTCGTAAGGAAGATCAAGTAAGGAAGCTCATGCTGGACTCCCACACTTCCATAACTGCTTTCGAGGTTCAAGCAGTTGCTGTGAATGACTGCATGGTGAGCCCTTAATTTCATTTTCATATGTGTTCTAGAAATTTGGATGTCACTTAAATGAAAGTTAAATAAATATGAAAATGTTTTGAATAAGTTTAATCTACAGATATAAACTGAAAGAAGGGTGTATTTACTGGACCAGGGGACTTTGAATGAGAACTGTGCTTTATTCCTTTCTGTCACAGACAAGCTGAGTGACCAGTGACAACCCAGTTTGGCTTTTTGTGCCAGTAATCTTTAAGGCAGAATTGAAATGACCTAGTTTCTACAGCAAAAAGCATTGTACAGAGTAATCTTATAGAATTATAATTTGTCTCTTAAGTGAGTCACCCAGCATTCATGTTTTCAGTATGTTCTCTGAACTGAAACCACAGCCCCAGTGAGGTGAGAGCAAAAGTTTCCACCTTCTGCAGTGGGTCCCACATTTCACCCTGTGTATCTGTATCTGAGCTGCAGGCAGGACTCATACTAACGAATATATAAAAGGAAACAGCAAGTTTAGGAAAGGCACAGAAAATGAAATCATTATTTTTCTTTTGCCTGAAAACACACCTCTGCCTCCCCTGACTAAAGTGTCAACATCTATAAATATAAGACCAAGTATATTACTCATATAGATTTTATTACAAAGTTTTAGCAAAAAACCCCAAACAGAATGTAAAAAAGTATACATGAATTTAACAGTTCTTTAGAAAAAATATTTAGAAAAGATAGCAAGAATCATGCTTGTCCCTGAACATAGAGTTCATAGTTTGCCTTTAACACAAATTCGAAGTAAGCGTTATATTTCAGGTTGCCCAGTTCGTTCGCTTGCAGCAAGTCCTTCACCTCCGGTAAATATTCACTTAGCTGAACTCCTACAACACAAAACCTTCTATTACAGCACAGATAAAAGTACTTTGCATTAGCAGTTAAGATCATTTTTAAGTAAACACCTGTGCCTGCCTCAGAGTTAAGTTACTCTTTTGGAATCGAGATCTAATTCTATTATACCAGTCAAGAAATACAATAAAGGTTAAGAGGCCTGTAAAACTGAGCTTTAAAAAAAAAAATCCTACTCAAACAGAGCTTCCCAGTGAATTTATGATTAAACCTAAAATCCAATTCTTCACATATGTTGCCAAATTAAAACAAATTTTAAAAAAGATAAAATAAAGATCAGTCATGTAATAAATACTTATATCATCAGTTACAACATTTCAGTCTGTGGTGTGAGAATCTTATAAAGAGAAAAGAAATTGACAGGATTGAACACACAAAACTAAAATCGTTCTGAAGAACTTAATTTTTGTATTTTTGACATGGAACTTCCTCTGTTCTGAAAAAAGTTCATATGCAGTAATATTTAAAACAGACTGACTCTAAACTGCTTCCACCCCCTCCCATCCCCAGCTCTAACTTTCATGGCCAGAACTTCTCAGTCAGCTTTAACTTGGGGGGATTTCATTATTTTTTTGGCTTTTAGGGAGGGAAAACAAAAGCAAAACACCCCACATAAACTAGAACAGATTAAGATTTTCTGAATGACAAAGAGCTATTACTCCCTTATTTTACAGAAGTATTTAACTCCAGAAGACATATTTACTGTACAACAAGGAACTGCTGAAGATCTGACAGCTGCCCTACTGAGCAAATCATTTGAGGGTACTCAGATCATAACCAAGAAATCTGCTCATCTCTTATCCCCTCAACATTTATAGATAGAATTAGCTCCATATGATTGTAATTATCTAGTGGAATGCATATGGAAGTTTTGATTACTCTGAGAATTTATTAACACTACTTGTTATTTATTAGGGTTCATCTTTAGCAGCTTTTGAAACAACTAAACAGTTTCAAGAAGTTTAATTATATTTAAGCACACTTTACCTTCTTTCAACAGTTTTTGTAATATCTTCACAAATATACTATCTTTAGATGCTTCAATTGGATCATCTTTACCATCTGAACTGGACCATCTGCAAGTAAAAGAATAATTTGTGGCAATAATTGCACAGATTAAATCAAATGAAAACTAACAAAAAATACACAGGAAATTTGATAAATTATCGAAGGTGATTGATACATGTTCACACATAAGTGTTATGTGCTTGGCTGCAGCTCAAAGCAAGAGGTCTTTTCTACCCTGGGTTACTTATTCATTATTCCAAGAGTAAAGCTGCAATAATATTGCAGTGCTATAGTATAGTCTAGTTAGGAGGACAATTGAAATGCTTCCTGTCGTCTAAACTATAAAAGAATGCATTATTTCTTTGCTAAAATAAAAAAATATTATCTATCAAGATAAGAATTACCTATTTAGTAATTATATTTTACAATTGAGATGATGAAAGTATATATTTATTTTCTAGTAGAATAGAGCAAGAGCAGCAATTTGCTTATTTGAAAACAAACAAACAAACAAACAAACAACTACCAAACCAAACAAGCAAACACCAAGAAAAGGAAGGAGGAAAAAAATGGTAAAATCTAAGTTGCAGGCCCATAACAGCGCACACAGACCAAATACAGTTTGTCTCATTTGTGACTAAATGTGAAAGTGAAGACTCATGAATGCAAGTCTCATCTGTGATAAAAAGAGCCCAAGCAGATTTTTCTAAGAGAAAGATATTTTAAATGACAATTTTTCATCCTTGCAGAGCTTTATGGGTTGCAGTTTTAAGTCAACACCAACCTAACTTAATTTTGCTGTGATTCTAACCTTTCAGTTGTTAAAACTTCCTGTTCCATATGTTAAACTGCCAGACAAATCCAGTTGTCCTATCAGTTCTTAAACCAACATGAACCTCCTTGGGCCAATGGGACATCCTTGCAATAGATCTGGACCTGGCTCCCAGAGAAGTTATTACTTCACTGAAACCATGGTTTTACCCTGGATGTCACTCAAAACTACCAAACTTCTAGGATTTCATCTTTAATTCTACTGGAAAGAATGTGAGGGAAGGAGGGAGGGAAAGGGAAGGGGGATATGAAAAAACAAATCACTCTTCAGCAGAGGAGGACAGTGAAGACCCTACCAGAAGGTCAGGAGCATGCTCAGCAAGGCTCTCCATTCTACCCAAGAACCTTACCACCATTTGTAGCTATTAAGCCAGAAAACCAATGCCGTCCTTAAAAGCCGGTACTGTAACGTGCCAAGATGCCTACTTCTGCACACAGATGAAAGTTAACACTACCTCTTTTGAAATAGCGATCAACCTCTTTGTAAGTCTTTGTGAGCCTTGCTGGACTGCAAACTCAACTGGGACATCAAGTTTTCTAAACACTATTCAGTGCCAAAGTGATGTCAAATTGCATCTGGTTAGCTAGCAGAGTGGGCAAAAGCTTGACAGCATTATGTATGATTTGAATGGTTTAAATATGTCAAAAACTCTTTCAGCCCAGGGTAGACAGAACAAACCAGTTACTGGACTTATACCATGTAGGAGTTCTGGATTCTTCTGTCTTGAAAATAAGAGGAACAGAAGAAAGCACTTGGAATAGTGTGAACTTGTTTCTGCGTATTATTTGTGTCATATGTGACAATAACTCTGTCATGCAACTAGGAATTTATTTTCTACAGACTAGTGTCCTCTGGAATCTTTCCTATGCAAAAGCATGAATCCAAATGCTGCTTATTTCCATTTTAATCACAAATGGAACAATGCATTTGGAACATATTACGTCTTCATCTTTTCTTCCTTAGGTCCTCTTGGAACATGGATGGGAGTTAGAAAATCGGATAAATTCTGAAAATTAGAAAGGGAGAAAATGCCATTTGACTTATTTAACCTGGGAGAGAACAGTAACACTGCTTTGATGAGAAGATTCTTCTGACCAGTTGGATTCAGCCTGTATTTGGTGTTGACCATCTGTAAGAGTGGCTCTTTTAAGCAGTATTTAAAGCTTTGATTGCGCTTACAGTCAAGAATGTAGCTTTAACTCAAAAAGGTCATGAACTTGTCAGTATGGTTCAATGGCTAAAAAATAAGTGAAATAAAAGTTTGTAGGAATGACCTCTGCACATGTTGCTCTTAAAAAGCTTCCATCTTGAGATGCCTCAAAGGTAAAATTTAATCTTTTTTTTTTACCTTAGCAAAGAGCTCAAGAATGAAAGTTGCATGGCTACATTTCTGTCTCAGGTGCTGAGAATGCACAGTGGGTTGCCAGTGAGCTGAGTGAACAAAGTACCACAGATTTTTGTTGTTCTTGTTGGGGTTTCACTTTACAAATAAAAAGACACATTCAGATCACATACTTCATACTTTACTGACCTTCTACTATGAAATGAAATTTTTTCAGTGAGCTAGAGAATATGTAATTCTGGAAAAGCTGTCACTAATACTCCCAGTAATTTATACTTATATTGGACTTACCCATCTCTTTGGAGAGCCTTACAGAGAATTTTAAGTTTAAGATCATTTACATCCACTTCCGTTTTTTTTTTTTTGTTTTGTTTTTTTAAAGAAGCAATCACTCAGATTATACCAATGAATTAGATTCTTCAGTTACTGAACATTGTTTTTAACACATGATATTTTAATAGATGACCTGATCAGACTGTTGAAACACCAAAGACTTTTCATCTCCGATTGAAAACACGTCTCAGACTTCCTACATTGCCACATGACTGCTGAAGACCAATACCTCAATTTGAAAACGGGCATATTTTAAAGGACGTGGACAAATACCCATCTGTAGGACACTGCATTCTAGCAAGTTTTATTTTAAAATGTGCTAAATGGTGACTGAAGGCAAGGCTCTTTTTTAAGCATGGCCAAGCTAACTAACATGCATTAGTGTCCACAGTAGGATATATGTTTTATGAATATATTAGTAAATGTCTTCAAAGATACACATTTGTCTTGGAAAGGGCAGTCTCTTCATTGCACAGAAACTTTGAGATTAATTGGTGTCAGAGCCCCTTTTAAAGTATAATATCAGAAAAAAAGACCATCTATTTTTTCCACCTCTCAATGTCCCAAAGCATCACACCTACCTCAAATTACCCTCATAAGAGATTAACAGAAAACCCTGAACCCTTGAATTTAGCCTGGAAGCAAGAGGATGGGTCTTGACTTCATGCTATGCTTTGGCAAGGGAAAAGCCAGGAAAACTAGAGAACAGCTAGTTTTTAGTCTCTACTCTAAACCACCATCTCTAATTTGTGCTGAACAGCTCTACTGAAGTTGTTAGAGGCTCAAATATCTGAGCAAAAAATAATCAGAACTCTCATGTTTTTAGAGTGACATTTTATTTAAGTGTGAAAAAAACAATATAGTTATCTCAGTGTTCAAGAATTGTGGTGACAAAATTTAAGAGGAAAACTAAGAGAGAAACAAATGAGTCCACTCAAGTTCATTTTAATGCAAAATATTATTATGTCATCAAAATGAAGGGGAAAGTTAAGAAAAAGCACTGTTTTTTTTAAAAAACTAAAGAGAACTAACTCAGAGTAACATGCTACTCTAGTAATACACTTTCATCAGCACACAAAATATAATACAGTACTAAACACAGGACAAGTAAACAGATTCATATGTAAAGCAAAAAACCCACTGGTTAATAACAGTAAAGAAACATTATTCAAAAGAAAATTTAATAAAAGAAATGAAAAACCAATTTAAAAATCAATTTAAGTTTTAAAAACATTTTGATTATAAATGTTTTTATAATTATCAAACCAAAGTTATTTAAGACCAAAGTGGCACAATGGTGTTTACAAAGCACTACTACACTGAGGATTTTAACTTGGAGCTCTACCCAGACCAGCAGGAATTGGAAAAATCAGAAAAGAGCTCTCATTTTCAATTGGTAAGGAATACTTTTACTAAAAAATACAACTTTAGCTTTTTAGCAAAGACTGTTGATAATTCAGGCCTGATATGCCTCAGACGTTAGTTTATTCATGATTAGTGGAAAGTTACTCCTGACAAGATACTAGATCATACAACAAGATGCACTGAGAAAGCAGACAGCAAATCTGTAGTCCAATGCTATTTACATGTTAAAAAGCTGGACACTATCCCACATTATCTCATGGCAATCAGAGAAACTGCCAATAGGGAAGAAGCAAGAACTAAATTACTGAAAACAGATGAGCTTTGTCCTGTTTGGAAAAAGCCTGTAGAGAAGCAAGGCTCTAAAAGAGAGACTCTAGACTATAAATGGGAAGTGAAGATGAGGAGTGTCATTTTTCTTAAATGATCTAAACCACATTTGGCATTAAGTCTCCAGTGACTTAGAAACAAACTGAAAAAACACATCAGGAGTTACTTTTAATTACTGTACAGTAAGCTAATATGTTAACTAACTACAGATACACCATCCTAGCTTAAAATTTTTTAAAAGTCTCTGGGTTAGAAATCATTCAAAAACTTTTCCTACCTCATCAATATACTCCAGCAAATCAAGTGCCTTCTTGAAGTCATACTCATTGGCCCTTCTGTTCTCATCACATATGTACATCTATGATAAAATAGATTAATGTAGAGAATTATTTTTAGCCTACAAACTAATGTAACTGATATCACGGACAACTCATTGTGGGAAGACCACCATGTATTTTCCACTTACATGACCTTCTCATGAAAATATGCCTTGATTCAACTGCAAGTATTTTTATAGTAAGGAATATACTTAAGGTTTTAGAGCAGCATTCCACCTACATGACAATGGTCTGTGGACAAATGATATTGGATATAAGGCTGCTAGGTTTCAAATTTAAATGCCATTTAAGGCTGTAACATTCCTGGTCTATTGTAGCCAGAGCTCAGCTCCACAAATAAGTTAAGCAGACATACTGCCTTTCAACTTTTAAAACCAGACAAGTTTGCTATCAATATTTCATTCCCCCAACAAAATTCTAAATTGGTACTTCAAAGAAAAATTAACATTAAGGCTCTTTTATTTACAGTTTCCAAGTTTCATTCTCGCATTGCAAGTAGTAAGTTTGAACATTGGTTTGACAATAGAGAGAATTCAGAAGGAAAACTGTCATGGTGTCAGTGCTTGCCAAGTTATAAGTGACAATTCCTACTCTTCCCTAATCCCACTGATAGCCTCATTTACAGATACAGGTAATGACCAGAACATGGTATTAGCGTTGCTCTAAGAAAATAAGGATAATGAAGCACACTATCAGCTTTTGATTTTCTACAGGATTACAGAAAAGGAATTGCCAAATTGACACCCAGACAGGACCTGATTTGTTTTACAATGTATTTTTGTTACTCACTGAATACTTTGTGTGCATCACTGAATGGTAAAAATATGCTCCCAACAAGGCAGAAATGGTATGGCTAATGGTTCCTGGCTGCCACCAGAAAAGGGGGTGGGAAAAGGAGTCAGCACTATTAGTGATCCCAGCACTGGAGCAGTTCATGTTTTTGTTTCAGTACGGGCTGGATTTTTGTTTTTTGAAAAAGAAAAAAAAGTAGAAAGCCTTCAGGCACCTCTTTGCTACAGGTGACCAAAAGTGTCTTCCTGCTTCTAGTCCACCCTTTTGTGGTTGCAGCATCATTCTCCACTAAAGTTGAATTTTGTTCCTTCTGCCTTCCAAGTTCTGCCCTACTGAGAACGTAACAGAAGGTAAAAATTGTCTCATACCCAAAAACTGGCTTAGACCAATTAAATCGACTTCAGGCACTGATTTACAGCACTCTAAAAGCACATACTCAATCAGAAGAATTCTGAATTAAACCCAGCATTCTGACATTTTGTGCTGGTGGAAACTAAGCAAAGATAAACCAACTCATATATCAGATCTTTAGGTGCTTAGCAAGTCATGTAAGGGATGAAGACAACTGTGATCTTCTCACTCATTTTATCACACAGAGGCAGAAAACATACTGGAACGTGCAACTGTGCAGTGAAGAAAATGAGATACTTACATCAATGAGCTGAGATGCAGACAACACTGGCATATCATTGAGGTTCAACTGTTTCTCTGCCAGTAATTGTTCAGGAAGCGTCTCCTGATGTAACAGAAAGCGTTCCTGCTCCGATATTTCTTGTAGTCATTTAAGGAAATGAATGTTTCACGTTATTAAACTGTAATAATAAATTCCAAATCACAGTATTATTTGGGTCTACAAGTGTTTGCTATGAGGCATTCTACTTGGACACTCGTCTATGCTCCTGAAGCACTGAAATACTTCCACTTCAGTATCGTCATCCTGGTGAACTAGTTCTTACTTTCCATTCAGCTTCCCAGTGTAATGCAGACCGATAAATTTTTTCTCAAAACCACAAAATGAATACATAGGATTGGAGAGAAGCTCTTGCACTATGCAGGAAGGTAAGGTGGTTGCAATGTTCAGGAGCCACCTTTTGGCTGAAGACCTGTGCCACAGACCTGCTTCATCTCATAAATTATTCTGGTTTTGATTGTTTTATTTTCCAGTATGATCTTCTTCAGGGTTAGAAACTCATTAGGCTGAAACAATAAAACTGGACTAATTTCAGCCACACTATGTGAACCTTGCCCTTCCTGCCCAGTTCCATTGCACGGTAGAAAGAGGAAAATAATTCTAAGGAGCATTTTATCTGTTTAAATGGATAAACAAAATGTGGCAGAAATAATTATTCTTTATCAATAGGAAAGTGGTACACACAGAATGTAAGTTTTAAAAGCTATGTCATGTATCATATAGGAACGTGTAGCAGACTAAAGTCCAGACCAAATTTTGAGAGTTCATTGGTCTATTGATACAAAGCTTTGATTTCCTCATTTTTCTACGGTTTTCCTATTTAAAGATGAGATTTTTCACATCAGCATAGTTCTTTTTTTTTTTTTTTCACAGCAGTGGGAAAAACAAATTTAAACTTTTAAGATTTCATGCCATGTTTTACAATTTAAAAGGCAGATAATATATTATTATTACAACCTAAAAATAATTTGTAAAGCCTACTTAGTTATCATAATTATCCCTGGGCTTTTTCAACCAACAAGATTTCTTTTAAGACTGGTACATAACATACATGGATAAATACACAGATAAATAGAAGCAAGCTTGAGTAGTAATATTTTTTTGGAGTAGTATTTCAAAGCTTCCCCCTGGTGGCCAGTATCAGCTTAACCATTAGCACAGAACAGCTTTTTCAGCACTTCTTGATCACTATTTGCAGGTACGTCATTACAGTACAACATAGTTATTGGATTTCTTTGTACAGCCTAAGAGGCCTTCAGAAGAACTCAGAATTGAGAGCTATTCAATAAACAGGTTTTAAGAAATAAAATCTTTTTTACCTTACAACTGAAATATAAAATGCAGCTTCATGAAAATGCATTCCGTGTGAATGGTTTACAAGTTTCAGCCATTTCAGAACTGCCTAGTGACTTCTCAAAATACTGTGAAGCTTGTTATTCATGTCAGTATTTTGCATATTATTAGAAAAGTGGAAAGGTACAATTTTCTCATGCTCATAGCCCTAATTCACAGGTGAAAGTGAATACTGTGGTTACAGCCTTATGCTGTCTTCCTCACCCTTCCTGCAATGAACAAAATCATCAGCCCGTTTATTCTTACCACATTAAGTTAGAGCCCTCAACCTAACACACTAACAATCTGCAAAATTAATATGATTCTAATTTGATAACTTCATTAGTCTATTGTTCACTTTGCTCTGTTTTCATTTCTTACCTTCTATTTTCTCTTGCAGTATGTCTTCTGAGAAGTCAGATGCCAGCGCAGCTAATTTGCTCAAGCCAAGAAGTGTTTTTTTCTTTGCAAAATACCGGGTCTCCATATTCGCCAAAGTTTGCAACGTTCTGTGAGCCTGAAGTTAGTAAAGATGTTAGAAATCAGTTTTGTAAATTAACATCAGGTTAACAGATAAGGATTTAGTCTGAACTGCAGTCCCACGGCTATGTATTGTTTGTAAAACTATAACCCTTTTTTTATAAAAAAGTCATACAACTTGCACATTAAACTCTGCATTACACTCTTCAGGAAGAGACACAGATCTCTACTCCAATTATATGCATTTAAAAAAAAAATTTTCTCAGTACTAATCAATAAAAACTATCTTATGATCAAAGGATAAATTGCAACTTCACATATTATATCTCTGGGATCCTACTCAAGGCTTCACAATAAAAGCCAGGCAAATATGCTTTGACAGAACAATTTCACATGCAGACTGATTTGTTAATTCAGGAATTTGAAAAAACAAATTTGTAAAACTGCTGCAGTAACCAAGCATATAGGGAAGAATGTATTTGTCTATCAGACAAAGGAACAGAAAGTTTCTGAGCACTTACTCAGAAATAAACTATACAGACTGAATGAGTTTTGTATTTTAGAATCCTTGCCCCCTCTTCACAGTGCTTTACTATAACAGAGAAAGCCTCAGTTGACACAAATGGAATATTACAATATTCTCAGGGTGGGGCTGGTTTGTTAGGGTTTTTTTAAGGGGCATACAGTATTATCAACCTGTAATTTCCAGTAGGATAAACGTTTCCATGCTCTGTGTGCTTAATAAATGTGCATATGGATTGAAAGAAACCATTTTTGTTTAGAAATACTTTTATCTGCTAAAATGAAATACATTCATAAGCGTAGCAGAAGGAAGAAAAGACTGACCAGCAGGAAATGGGGGAAGAATAAGTGTGCAGTCTACAAGACAACAAAGGATCAAATTAAAAAACATCACATTAATCTATCCACACGTTTGCTACTAAAGAAACCCCAAATTTTAAACTATTTATGTAAGCGACTAAAACAATATCTTTTTTACTTTTGTGACACCTCCAAATTCCTTTGCTTTAAATAGTTGGTCTTCAAATCTAAGTTTCAGTTTTTCCCTTGCTGGATAATCTGATAATGCTATTGATACTCACTGTAAACTCTCAATTCTATCAAAGTAGTGATCATGTAGCCAAACAAAACTTCCTTGATAAAAAAATATTAGTCACCAACAAGGGATGAAAAGCAGCCCTAATTTCCATTACAGGGTGCAGTGACTTATGATATACCAAGTGGTGCCTGGAGGAGGCTTCTAGTACTCCATTAAGAAATAATCTCTGTCATCTCTCCCCTAACTCATCTAGACATGACTCTTCATCATCAAAATATGGCTTATCTAGATAATTTTCCTACTTGAATGTATACTTGACCTGTTTAATGTGTGATATTTCAGTTTGGTTGTATTTAAGAACCCCTACCTTTTGCAAATCCTGACTGTTGATTTCATGTAACCAGCTCAGATGCTCATGAGCTTGCAAGAAACTGGCCAGCTGTCCATGCTGAGCAATAGGTTGAGATAACAGCTTCCCTCGCTTTCCTTTTTCTAGATACCAGCGAAACAGGAAATCTGAAAAATTCTGAAGATAACAGGAATATGAACACATTTTAAAAGTTACATTTAAATATTTTGTTTGTCTTCTAAATGCTTCATAAAATCCAATTGGTAAGAACCTACTTAGCAAAACAAGACACACAAAAATACAGTGTTGATGAGAAAACTTTATTAAAGAGTCCTGATAGAAACAGTGCTTAAAGAATTCACGAGCTACTCTGCAACACATGCTGGTACACACAGCATCCTTTAATGGAAGTGAAGGAAGTGACAAATGTAAATTCTTCATGTAACCCACAAATATGGAAACAGGTATCACATCAATTCTAGTCTTCTTTTCTTTACCTGTTCCTTTGGCCACCACAGAATTCTGTCCTTACTATTTCCTTTCACATTAAGTTTATTACCTCTGTCACTGTTTTTGAAACGTCCCCTCCTATCTCCAAGCGAACCTAAAACCTTACTTCTCTCAGTCATTGTTAAAATACAATGTCTTTTTAAAAAAGCTAATTTATCCTCAAAAACTTTAATGTGAAATTAGGATTTATGTTTGAGATTTAATGTAGTATTTTCAGAGTAATTTGAGAATAATGCTAAATTTTAATTGCATTAACAATTTAAAAAACAGGTTTGAAGAGATCATCAGTCTGATATTCTATCAATTAGACTTGATCTATTCCGTTCTACATTTGCCACAAGAACTTCTTTCATAAAGTGTTACATTTTTCCTTTAAAATAAAGCAAGTGAAGAGAAAAAAAATAGAGTTTATCCCCTTCTTTGGCAGGAAGTGTGAGTATTTAAGCCTCACTATTGAAAACCTTTAATATAATTTCTGCCCTTTACTGATACTTTTGCTTTTTCTTACTAAAAGAACCTTTCTTAGAAAACCTACATATTGCAGGATTTCTCTTTCCATAGCTGTTGTAGAAAGCTCAACAAGTTGATCTCACTAACTCTCAAATTTGAAACTTTTGTTCCAGTCCCCCCCTCCCTTCAAGTAGTCTCTACTGCCTTCTCCTTAAGCTTTCCAAATTTTCAGCACACACAGTTTTCACACCAGATTTTAACAGACATTGGAAAAAACTGTGCAACAAGGACTTAGCAGGACAATAAAAAAAGACCACAGCAACATCCCTACATCCCTACTCTCCTTAACTACCTTCTTATTTATACATTTACCAATTTAATAATCTCTCTTGGAAATTATCCTTATATTTGTATTATATTACTTCGAAACAACAGTACAGTGACTACAACACCTCGGTAAACAAGTCACAAAATGCTGAAAGATGTTAAGAGTGACATAATGTGTTTGAGGCACAAAAAAGGTCCCATGAAAAGCCCCTGCCCATACAGCTTAGCACCCATGTTTCTGCTGACTTGCTTTGCAGTCTCAGGGTAAAATGCTCCACTGAGATCTGCACAGTGAATGTTAACTTCAATTTTCCATATTACCACCATAAGTATATATGTAAATACATATGCATTAAAAAAAAACAGAAAAAAACCAAAAATAAATCGTAACTTTTGCAACATTTCAGGTGCAAAGTTATTATAAAACAGTATCTAAAGGAAATAGAAAAAAGAGTTACCTGATCTGCAAACTGACTCATGTAACGTTGTAATCTGGCCTGGTTGTCCGTCTGCTCACACATTTGCACCAGGATATCAAAGTCACAGTACTTCTCTGCTAAAGCGGCAGCCATCTGATACTGTCCCAGGGAAACTAAGTAACCAAGAAAAAGAAGTTTGATAAAACAAGCTGATCTTTGACTGTAAGAAGATGACCAAGGGCAGAGAGCAGAAAAACAAAAATAAGTTTCAGGTGTTCACGTCAGGGAGCTACCTGCACATTCCCAAGACAACTGCATACATACCCTGCACACATGCAAGTTCACGTACCTACCACCTCTTTCCCCTAGTACAAAAGAGAAGTTTAAAATACTGAATGGCCAGTATACATCCTACCTTCCCTCAAAGTTAGCATCATCTGCTATTTGTGCTGGGGCAGGGGAGATTCAACCCATGAGTCAGTATATGTAATAATAGGTAAACAAAATGAAAAAGCATTAGGCAAAGGCTTTTGAAAAAAACCAAAACAAGACAATGGGGTTTGTATTAAAAACTGTATTACTTTAAACTCTTTCTTTTAGGTTCAGTTAAATGTGTAAGAGTTAGCAGAATACTCAGTTTTGTTTACAAAGAAATATAAACTTTAGATTAAACATAACAATGTAAAATATATTCACAAGCTAACAGAGCCCATAAATGTCAGCAAAACTGAGAAATATAGTTTAAGGGACTTTTCTTAAGGATGTTTAAGAATGTTAGGAGGCAGTGATTATTAGATTGTTCTGCTTATATAATTCATTTTTAGCCTAAAAAAGTTAAAACTTTGTAAAGTTATTAAAATGTATTTACTCCAAATTATTTCCACTTAAAAAGGGGGCTTTGCTGTCAATTACTCATTAAGACTTCACCACCTCTGACATGTTATAACTACAGGTTTGATTATTAAATAACCAAGATTCAAAAAATTAACTTTTTCCTGATACATTTTTCAGGCATGTAAGTTTCTATCAACCTGCAACAATATAAATTTAGAAATCCATTTATGGGGTACTGTCAGACAAGCAGCACAAGATAAATTCCTGCCAGAAAAATATAACAAATTAGCAAAAGAAAAAAATTCAAGCAGCAACATATCCTATTAGAGAGAGGTATGGGCATGGATGCAGTCCTGATGCAATTCTGTGATCTGTTCTTATTCAAACACATAAGCCATTTATCAGATTTGCATCCCTTCCTCATCAAATGGAACATTTGATCCTTGCATTAAAGGAAAACAGACAGTACTTACGGAGGGGTGATAAGAGTTCCGATCTTTTCTGCACATATTCCATTTCCAGATTGCTGTATCGCTCTTGATCAGCGGGGCGGTCCACAGATTTCAGCTGAGAAACATAGCCATCTAGGAAACAATCCAGTAGTGCCACCAACTGTTCAGCCACAATACTACGGAGGTTACTGTCCACCTGGGGATACACCATCTTCAGAATGATTCCATGCTGATGTATTATTGTTGCACGAAGGCTGCTAGATGCTTGGGAGAACAACACAGTGAACATAAAATAATAACACTATCACCACAGGATTCTATGCTATATATGAAGTATAACATAAACATTACTATGAATAATTGAAAAAACAGAAAGAAAAAAGGTAATAAACATTTTAGTTTTGAAAAACAAAGCAATATTATTAAAAAAAAAAAGAACAACAACCAAACCAAACATCCTCCCATCTACCTTTACATATTAAATTTGGCCAAAACATAGTAAATAAAAAAACCAGAAACAAAACCATCTGAACTACCCAGCTCTACATTGTCAATTATCATTACAAGCTATTTTTCAGAAAAAAATCACTGGCATCTGTAAGAAAAGTAGAGAATACACACAAGGAAAAGGCAACTTCTGTTAACCTGATTTAAATACTTGGAGGTAGTCATCAAGACTTAACACACCAAATTAGCTTGCATGGATCCTGCTTTTCAAAAGGTTTTTATCTTGGGAGCACTAAACAAGTGTGTTTTATACGGAAGAGGCCACATGGAAGCTTAAGCACCAACTGGAAAGTGCTTGTTTCTGCAAACATTTGTTCTGAGTTTTTCATTATATTGAACCACCAAAACAAAACCTATTTAAGGGAGTGGAAAATTATCAGCTCTTTTCAAACAGTTATAGATCACATTTTATAATTAATTATAAAGTTATGCCATAAGTCTGCCAATAGAACTAGTGCATAAGAAATAAAAATTAGCTGTTTCCCAAACTTTGTTTTTGTAGTCAAATTTGCAATGCAAGTTTTAGATTTATCATCAATACTGGACAAAATAAGTGTGTGTTGATTCATTTCATTCCCCAAATGAAACTTTCAACTTCTCCTGTTCTTACTGACAATCTCATCACAGCTTTTAACAGTAAGTTTAAAATTCAGATTGAAATTCACATGCTCCAGAACTCATGAGAAGTACTTTTTGTTTAGGATAGGTAATTAATAAACTAGTAATAATAATTTCTCACCTGTCCATGGAATATATTCAGGTTCTCTTTCTGGGAGCTCTCCTGTTTTATATGAAGAAGCTCTAGATTGACGATACTGACAGGCAGCTTGTAACATGTCCTATTTAAAGGCAAAGACATAAGTATTTTAAAGTCTACCTGCATATACACAGACCATAAAGACATTATCTTTTATAATTCTGAAATATTCTTTCAATATCACTGTTTTTCTACACCTCTTTCTCAGTTGTAAAGAGCACATACTGACGGAGCAAGAAAACGTCAGTGCTCAAGCACAAGCTCTTCACTCTTTGCTACATACTCAGGCTTTCACAACAATGTTTCAACTTCTCAATTCTCTTTAGCTATGCCTCGGGGGGAAAAGGAATGTCCCTAATTCTGCTCAAGACCATCTTGTCCTTCCTAATATATCTGTGCATGTGAAAAGTGAGTTCATTTTTGCTCTCACATCAGTAACTCAGATGTGCTAGACTCAACTTGTTCAGTGCTCTTCAATATTTACCTTCCCCTCCCACAAACATTTTAGTTAATGCAGTTCTATACCTTAATGATATTGTTCACATTGACAACTATCTGGGCCCACTCAACTGACTCAATAGGCATATCTTTCAGGATTTGTTCTTCTTCTTCTAGTAAGCATTCAAAGATGGAATCTATCTGGGACACCTTAAAGATAGAAAGAAAAATTGCACTGAGCACAAATATATCCGTTACCAGCTGATATCAGAATGCTAAATTATGAATTGCATAGAAAAATAAACAAGTATTAGTAGAAAACATATAAATAGCCAAAAATACTAAAAGGTATCAACTACTGAAATGGATCATGAAATCACCAGCTTATATTTCATACAATATTTAGAATACAAGAATTGCCTTATTTCTGGACTTAAATCTGGAAGAAAAAAAAAAAATCTCTTTTTTGAAGGCAACTCCATGAACTTTCATTAAGCATATTCCTCCATATTCTTCTGAAACATTTCACAGTGGAATTTTTGTTAGATTCTATACTGGATAACATACCTGCTTTAAAATGAGAGACTATTTCCATTTCCTTTTATATTGATTTCTCCATTAGCAACTATTGTCCTCTACAGAAAAAAAACCTCCTGAGAATAAGTCTTTTGTGTATAGCTCTTCTCAAGAAGGAAGAAAGAAAGACTAGGTGCTTGAATGGAACGTGGTATAAACTGAGAAGTAGCTTAGATTCGCTAATATTAGAAGACAAAAAATTTCTAAGAGACTGAATTGATACAATTCCATCCAAGACAGCTAATCAAAGCAGCTCTCCTATCTGCAAAGCATCATACTCCTCAGTTCACCCCTTAAAAATGACCCCTTAAAAATTTAGCATATATTTTCTGATGTGCCAGAGAATTTCAGTTGTATTTTTCATTGCTCATCCATGTTGCTTAGTTGGAAAGAACAACTTTACTTCCACTGCATGAAATTTGTCAGAATTCATGTTTCAGCTGCAGATATAAAAAAGCATGTACACTAAAGTGAGGAAAATACTACCACACCATCCTTATTTAAAGGGAAATTGTGTGAAGTTTAATTGATTTTTAAAGGGAAAAGTCTCAAAGTATACATTAAAGCATTACAACTTTTACTATATGCAATACTATACAATGATTCAGAAATAACAGGTTTCTTACCTCTCGAAAGAACACATCTGCAGGGGTAAGACTTGTTGGAACATCACACTCCCTTTTGTTTAATGCGATTAGTATAGCAGCATTCACTAGATCAGGCAGCCTGGAGTGGTGATTCTTGAGAACAATAGCTGCTGCTAGTTTCTCTGCATGCTCACAGAGCAACAATCGAGTTGCCATCTGCACCCCTCTTACTGGAAAACTGCCCAGACGTTCAAATACACCGACCTTTTAATAAAAAAAACCAAACAACACCCCCCCAAGCGCACTTTAAACAGTGTTCTAGAAGAATTACTTGAAGACAAAATAATACTGTGTGTGCTGATACCAAAAAGAACAGTAAAATTTTACCTGTTGAAGAAACTCAATGAAGAAGGAATGTGCTTTTGTCTTATCCTCTAGCTGATGAAGAAGAATGAGAGATGTGTTGCTGAAACCAGCTGCTTCTAAAACGAGAGATATCTTAAATCAGCGCACTCGAGATCTTCATTTCTTGGTAACTCTTTTTTTTGCTTCTGAGGTAAACATATTTCTATAAATTTCTATGGTGTAACTGCACTGGTACCTTTTTTAATATATATGCACACACATTTATATATTACTTCATGCTATTTTTAATGTGGTTTTTGAACTCCATCATACCTGAAGTAAAGCTTTCAGGAGAAATCAAGTATTTTTAGATCACTACAATTATTCTGAAGCATTCACTTCATTACACTGCTAAAACAGCAGCTCACCAGCTTATTCAAGTTTTAGTAAGATTTGGATTCAAATTTTTATCTTTGTTGTGGACTAGCTATTGATAAATTTATTATGCCTTAGACCACAGCTACTACAAAATAAAGTATTAATGGGCATTTAGACATAATTGACTCTGTGCTGCCTGCACAACAACACTGCACAACATAAGTGGTTGCGCAGCATGGCCCTACTTTTCTCTTCCTCAAATGAGTTTGCATATGAAAAGCCAGCCAACCTTTCTGTCCAGACAATCAGGTCCTTAAAAGAGTCAGTAAGGATGATGGAAGTTTTCTTCATGAAGCACGTGACTGGGAAAAGCCAACATGAATTCACCAAGGGCACATCATGCTTGACAAACCTGATCACCCTCTGCAACAAAGCAACCTACTCGGTTGATGTGGGGTAAGCGGTGAACATTGTCTACTTGGATTTCTCCAAGGCTTTTGACACAGTTCTCCACAGCCTCCTCCTAAAGAAACTGATATATTAGGGTCTAGACAAGCGGTCTGTGAAGTGGGTCGGGATCTGGCTGACAGGCCACACCCAGAGGGTGGTGGGAAACAGCTCCTTTTCAAACTGGCAACCTGTCAGAAGTGGGGTCTCCCAGGGATTGATATTGGGCCCAATACTGTTTAACTTCTTCATAAGTGATCTGGATGATGGGATCAAGCGTACCCTGGTGAAGTTTGATGATCATACCAAACTGAGTGTGGAAGTGGACACTTTGGAAGGGAGAGCTATCTTGCAGGGAGACCTGGATAGGCTGGAAGAGTGGGCTAACAAGAACCTTATGAAGTTCAACAACGTAAGGCCTTGCACCTCGAAAAACATCATCCAGGAATGCAGCACAGGCTGGGATCTACCTGGCTGTGGAGCAGCACTGTGGAAAGGGATCTCTACCCTGGGGGTCCTGGTGGACAAGCAGCTCAATATGAGTGAACAGTGTGCTGCTGCGGCAAAGAAAGCCAAGGTGCTGGGTTGCACCAACAAGGGCATCACCAGCAGAGATAAGGAAGTCTTTATCCCACTTTATTCAGCACTTGTCAGGCCACACCTGGAATACTGTGCTCAGTTTTGAATCCCTCTATACAAAAAAAGATGTGGACAGGCTGGAGAGGGTTCAGAGAAGTGTCACTTTGATCAAGGGTCTGGGAAGCCTGCCAGATAAGGAAAGCCTGAGAGAACTGGGTTTGTTCAGCCTTGAGAAAAGAAGGCTTAGGGGAGACCTTACAGATGTTCCAGTATTTAAATGGTGGCTACAAAGAACATGGAGACTCACTTCTTACAAGGAGTCACATGGAAAAGAAGAAGGGTAATGGGTACACATTACTCCTGGGGAGATTCCAACTGGATGCAAGAGAAAAATTTTTCACAATGAGAACAATCAACCATTGGAATAATGTCCCCAGGGAAATGCTGGATTCCCCAACACTGGACACTGTTAAGATTCAGCTGGACAGGGTGATGGGCCATCTTGTCTAGACTGTGCTTCTGCCAGGAAAGGTTGGACCAGATAATCCTTGAGGTCCCTTCCAACCTGGTGTTCTATGATTCTAGGATTCAGGAGTATCCTCACAAGCATCTTACCTCAGCAGAGTTCTCCAGGGCACAAGTTATTTTCCTATTTCAGAATTTTTGTATATTCTGTGTGTTTTAAAACAAAAGACTACCAAGATACCAAAACTCAGAAGAACTACTGCTATAAGCAAAATTACCAAAACTATTTCCAAGAAGTTATCAGTTTTCCCTTCTTGCTTTAGCCAGGAATAAATGAAGATAAGCTGCTGAGTTAAAAATAAAGTTGACTCATAAAATACTAAGGATCTGATGACTGACAATTTCTAACTGGCTGCCATGCAGAAACAACTGCAGGAAGCATCATCCATCTGTAACTATTTACTACATGAACTTTCAAAATAAATCTCTGCTCAGTAACTGGCAACTGCAGCCTAGAGGTCCTGGGGACAGTTTCATATTAACTGTTCAGAAGAGGGGGGGAAGCATGAACAAAGAAGTTTCTTGCTGAAAACATGTCTACTTTAATCCTTTATACACAACAAATACTCCAAAATAAATGTCTCTAGTTCTCTTTTAGGCAGACAAATACCAATGCCCCAGGGGTACAAGCTCACTCTACCCAGGATCCAAGCCTACCACATCTATGCAGCCATGCTGACGAAGTGCTAAGCATGAGCAAATAAGCTCTTTCTCTTACATATCTATTTGTGGAAAATAATTTAGACCTATCCAAGGAATCATGGAAACACTAAAGTGACACCACCTGTTCCTTGCACAAAACACCTTTCTCAGAAATATCTTTTCATTGTGAAAAGTCAAGAGCTAACCACAGGAGACAAGTTTGTCTGGTAGTCTTGTAAGATGCATCTTCTAGCCTTTCTGGAAATATATCTAGTGGTGGTAGAGGGGAAGGGACACCTATGCCTTATTTGCAAAGCTTAAATTATAATTTTATCTAACGTAATATGAACAGTTTTTCATAAAAAAAAAACAAAGCAAACCAAAAAACCAACACAAACCAAAACCCCCAAAATACAACAACCAACAAACACATTATGTTTACCTTCAGGTACAGATTCAGCCCATCTTGGATCAGAGGCAGGGTAGTCATCCATTAAATCCACACTGATTTGGGTCACTGCCCTATCCAGTTCAGCATCAGAATCCAGATCTGTATTACTTGGAAAGAGCTCAACTACCATGCTTTGTGCATTGACTATATCTTTCCTGAAATAAAAGAAACACAAAGTATGTAAAATAAAAATGATAGGATTATAGGAACAAGAATCACTCAATAGGATTTTCTGATATGATTTTTGTGAAGTGCTTTAGATTATAAACATCAAGCATTGTTTGGGCTCTTACACTAATGATGGATAAAAGGCATTCCAATTCTTTTAAAGTAAGTAGACTGCACAATTTAGAAACAAAAAAGCAAAAGACAGGAAGTGTTTCAAGTCACTTTTTATTCCATTACCCCTATTATTATTCTTTAAGAGAAAAGATTCATCATACAAAGCTACGTCTGGATGTAGCTAAGTCACCAAATTTCTATTACCTGCTTTAAAATCCTCTCAAGAGTATATGTAATCACTCCCACAAATGGTAACGGAGCAAAAGTTCTCAGGAAAATGCTTCAGAAAACACATTATTTTTATATCCTATTGTTTCAAAGAATCCTATTCTATTCATGTCAATAAGTAAAAGAACAAGAAGCATCCAAACACTTAAACCTCCAAGGTATGAGGTTGTACTGAAGAACTCTATGTAAGAAGTATGCAACATTCACAAAAAAGCACTGATTTAATTTTGTGACTAAAAAAATTATAGTAGTCTGACTGAGAAGGGATACTGTGATTCCAATATATTATCTGATTTTGGAAATGTTTATGTTTTTCATGAAACTTTCAGTTTGAGTGTTTATATAACCAAAAACAGCAGTGTATCCAGAAATTGCATGAAGGTTTACTAAAGCAAACATTACTTTTAAAAACTGGAATATACTGAATCATCTATTAAACAAGAAAGTCCCATCTTTACTATTCCACAGGACATGTGTTTCTAAGGAATTTATATGGTACTTTATTACCTCCTTCAAACCATAAAGTCCCATCAGCCAGTACATCAAAAAGGGTCAACTAGATCTTTCCATAGAACATCCCATCCGCTATAAAGATCACCAGGTCTGTAAAGTTGACTGTGCTCACTGCACAGCTGGTGGACTTTACACTTCCACTGGGTGCACAGCCTTTCTTTAATTGCTCTGCATCAACTGCTTGGCCATTTGGACAGGCCATTGCTACATCTGTTCCAGGGAAGATTTTTCCATTCCTTTTACCATACTAATTATATGGAAAAAATCTGAATCAATACTATACACAACCTATCAATTTCTTCTAGTTTCATAAATATAACCCATATTTTAATCAAAATAACATTAAACTTTTCATACTATTTCACATTTTTCCTTACTACCTCCTGCTATCTTCTGAGCCTGTTTCCAACCCCCTTGTTCACATTCTCAGTGATAACAACTTCCACATTTGTTATCTGTCCTCTCTTAGTTACTCCAGTCACCTCAGGACTACAGTCATCTGTGATCTTCAGCAGCAGTTCTGTTTAATGACATGTCCATTTCTGAATGCATGTAGATTTTCCTTCTAAATTCTGTGCATGTTTACAGATCTTGTCTTGAGAACCTTTATTATATGTGCCTAATCCCCTTTATAATCTTCTACCTCACAAACAGCTCTATGTCAAAAGCACTCCTACTTCCTGTTATCTTAAATCTGTTCTTTCCAAGTTTTAAGACTCTTTAAGGAGATTGTCCTAAGAAGGTTTGTGGATTGTGTGTGGGTTTTTTAAAATAAATATATATTTAAAACAATCTCCTCTAAAGATAATTAATCTAAGTCTACAGCTCTGTTAATCTTCTTATCTCTCCTTTTCCTCCTTTGTTTACATCACTCATCTTGACATCAAACCTTTCAGAGGCATTGTAAACCTCCCAACAGTCAGGTTGCTTTAACCAGGAAAGTCTGACTAACAGTGTATTTCCTTCCACTCCCCCCATATCAGTCAATCTAAAAAAAGGTATCATCTTGCCACAGAATCTACCATGCTAGTTATTCTTCATGGCCACATAAAAAGTAAGTAAACATATTCCAAAGTATTACTGAAAATAGCTATGCAAATAAAAATAAGGAAAAAAAGAATGTTTTTTAACACCACCACTTACTAAAAGAGTAAAGAAGTCAAAATAATAAAGTCTAAAGTTACATTACTGCCAGTGAAACATCACATAATTTATGCAGAGTAAGCAAAACGTCATTGAGATTATACAAGTCTGCTCCTTTCTAGCATTTATAATTTCTTCACTATCTTAAAATTTATCTAACGCTTTCCTAATAAAGATATGCATGTGTCATTAAAATAGCTTTAATTGAAACCGCACAAGAGTATCTTTACCAAGACAATCTATTACTCAAATATCAGTGTCTTCAAGAGCAAACAAAGCCTCAAAAAAATCAAGTGAAATTTCTACCTGCAGTATTGTAGAAAAGCAGCTTTCAGTAATTTAGTCTTATCTTCTTGAGCTACAATTTCTAGCCTACTGGTTGTGTCAAACGCAGGACTCTGAAAATGCAAAGTAAAAACTTCAGCTGCAAGACAGATATCAATCTTCATTATGAAAAGAATTTTTCTAAGTAGCAACAACATAGATTTAAAACAAAAATCCTACCTGCAAGCAGCTGTGTTTATTAAGCCAAACATAAACCTATACATTACAATGAAAGTCACATGGTGGCTTGACCTCAAGCATTTTAGCAGAATGCATCCAAACCACATAGGAACTTATGTCAGCTTATTTCACCAATCAACCTTTTTATAGTAATTTAAAATGTTTTAACATTCAAAACCGACATCTTGGACAGAATTTAGAAGGTATGAGTACTGTCACCCATGAAAACAATGTAAGTGCAAACAAATCTAACTAGAATTAGTTCAGTAAGAAAAATATAGTTCCATCTGAGCAATCACCATAAAGGTCTTCCACTAAAGTACTAGTTAATAAAAGATGATTTAAAAGGTGATTTAATTGGGATAAGTAATGAAACACATTCTCTAACTTAATTGTAACAATCTTTCTATTCTTCCCTCCCACTACAGGGACATCTCCAGGGCACAACACATTTTAAAACATGTTTGATGTAAATAAGAGCTTAATAAATGCACACTGCAGAAAATAACGATTTTTAGAAGACTGTCTTAAAAATACATAACAGAGCAGAAACTCAGCTACTATACAGCCCTTCTCAGCTTAACCTCCAAGCTTTTCACAGCATGTTAAGAAAAAAGCGTCTATGTGCACAAACAACCATGAAAGACTGAAGAAACTGTCCTGATCAGAAAGTGAGAACAAAGTCTGCATCTCTGCAATAGTGTCATATCAGGCCTAGTGATATACAGTAATACATCTATATGAAAAAAATATAAATTTCATATAAGTCTCAACTTCAAAACAAAGAAATACAAAAAGTTATCCAAACTGGCAGATGTTGTAAAATTCCCTAGGTTTTCAAAACTGTCTTCATTAGAAGTGTTTGAGTCTCTATTTAAAAGCAAACCTTTAAAACTCAAACAAGCTAAGATGTGAAAATTCAAAACTGCCAGAAAAACATTTTACTTCTACCCTGTTTTCAACCAGTCAAGGAAATAATCATTACCTCACTTCTTGGTCCAGCAACAGAAGAGGACAAGGAATCTTCAAGGTCTTCAGGAAGCACAGAAATGTTTTCCCTGGACAAGATGGCAATAAGTCCACTTTTTTTGGTAAAGAAAATTGGGAGACCAGTACAGGAACCTGCTCCTAAAATGCTGTCTCCTAAGAGGAGGGGAGAGGGAAAAAAAATGAAAGCAAGCACATAAATGTACTTTAAGACAAAAATTTAACAGTTTCATAGACAAATTTTGTCATGAACCAAGCAACAGTAATTGACAACTGCACCTGACTTGAAGAAATTGTGCATACTATTTGCTACCCAAGATATAGATTTCCAGATACTGCAAGTTTGTTTTTGTTTTTGTTTTAAAATATCAAGATTCAGGTCATTAAAACAAAAATAATCAAGATTCAAGTCGTTCAAAAAAAAAATAATAATCAAGATTCAGGTCATTCAAAAAAAAAAATAAAAAAAAAAAATCAAGATTCAGGTCGTTCAAATTCTACCTAAAGACTGATGTGCACAACATACTTGAAGACACCTCTGAAGGTCAAGGATGGCATACTTAGAGATATCTGTCACAGGCACCTAGTATGAATTTTAGGCTGAGCCTCAAAGTCAGCTTCAAGAATAAAGAAAAAAAAAAATCCACAGTGAATGTTGGGAAAAGAAAAAAAAAAAAGGCAAAATCACATATAAACAAAAACCCCATCCTTTAATATGACAAGAGTGGGGATCTACTTCATTTTCATCTGAAAAACTGTTAAGCAAGCAATAACTGGATGTCACGTCACCGCTTCCTCCAAACACTCACAAGAAACTCTCAACTTGAGAGATTTAATAAAGAGAAAAAGGAACATAAATATGATTCTCCTCTCAGAAATCTCAGTACTGTAAATACATTCAATTAGAAAACATCAATGAAATGTAATTTTCACACACACACGCCCCCTCCCCGCACATTACCTTGTATGCCAAATATTATTTTCTCCTGTGGTAAAGAAATTCTTCCAGTTCCAGTGGAACAAGCAAACACTTCATCTTCCTTATACAGGTAAGCAGCATGGCTAAAGTAATCTGGGACTACCAGACAGCACAACACTTCTTCTTCTGACTGAAAGTGTTACATACAAACAATATCACATATATAATAAAAACCTCAAACACACACCTAACATTTTAAAGGCTGATCTGTGTTGCCTGAATTTATTTTTTTAACAAGAAGATATGGATGTAACTTATAACCTAAAAAACCAAAAAAATACTTTTAATTTCCCTAAAAGTTAAGGTCCTGGATTTTTTTTTTCTTCCATATCTATTAAATTCTTAATAATTTCACATGGAAAGATAAGTAAACAGATCAATTATTCTACAGTTCTCACACCCTCCTTCCATCTTCAGATTAAATTTTAATATGCCATTATTGACAGGAGAGGTAGAAGAGTGGAAGAAGTTTACCAAAGAAAACTAATGCCCAAGATCATGCTTCCAGAGGAGACAGCACAAATGAGGTACACCAAGTACAACTAATGTGTCCTCCCCTCCCCTCAAGCCAGCTGTCTAGCAAGGACCAAAATATATATCTCAGTTTTTCATCCTGCTACAAGAGTCTCAACAGATTCTGAGATCTGTTCCAAATGGATTGCATGAGTATACCATAAAATTACTCTGTAGAAACTTTCACAGACAGGACAAAAATTAAAACAAATCAGTAATAATCAGATGTTTAAACTTCTACTTGAGGCTTTTTAATCTTATACCTTAAAATGTAAAGCATAGATTTTATATACAATTACTATTAAACATTAGAAGATGCTATTACACATTTTCCTTAGAATGAATATGTACTTCCAAGAACCTTAAGACAGAAAACTGGATTTTCCTTGAGACAAAAAATCAGATAGCTGATTTATCTACAGGAATACTCAGAAACACTGTGCTTTAACTCAGTTTCAGAGCCTTTATTTGCATACCTGAAAAGACGGATTATACTGTGTGACCTCCACAACAACATCATCAGACATCTGGTAGCCTTTATCTTCTACAGTTATCAGAGTGTAGTAGACAAGACATGGATGATCTCCAGGATGCCATGCTGCAGCAAGTATCACCAGTCCATCACTATTCAACAACAGATAGCACACCGTTGAGAGATGATTATTACGTATTTTACTTGCTCAAACTCTACCACTCACAAAACCAGATATTTAAGTACACTCACAAATAAGTATTTTCCCATATTGTGGGGTTTTTTTTAGAAAGACAGACTATACTATTTGTTCTTTCAAGCTGTTTTATTAACAGTATTCATACCATAGTACAAAACTGACCCAAGGCAGCTGTGATTTTATGTGATTAAATGATATACAAGATATACTGAATTCTCTGCAATTACTTGCTGTCTATATAGTATCAAGACAAAACAAATACCCAAATGTGATAAAACTACACTAAAACACTGAAAGGAATTATTCTTAAGTAACGGATTTGTAATGCTAAAGAGGTAACGACAACATGAAGTATAGGGTAACCTAGTTATCTAATATGATGTGCTTATTTTATCAGCAGTGATACTCAAGTAAAATTAAACTGCAATTACATACATCAAGTTTTTGCAAGAAAACAGAACACATTTATCTCATTAATGTCTTACCAGATGCAAATGTATTTCCTTACCGATTCTGTTGCAAATCCATGTATTGTACATTCACTCCTCCTTTAATATCTTCATAGTTACTTTCAGAACCCTAAAAAACAATACATCTGACTTGTAACTATAAAATAGACTATTGATGAAACAAACACACAAACCCTTTCCAAGAGAGCTGGTTCTTACCCAAATTGCATCTGTAATATGTTCTTTCAGGATCCTGTTGATATCCCAGCTCAGAATATAACGTTCTGATGAATCATCAATCTCCCATTTGTTTAGGTTTGAACTTGTTAACATATAAAAGCTTGATCTCTCTTTATCCCAAAGAACGCTAGAAATCTGCATTTAAAAAAGAAAAAGCTGAAAAGGTTAAGCGCAGCCTTAATATTTGGATACAACAATCTATGCCACACTCAGTCAACAACAACAAAAAAAATCACCTCTTCGGTCAATCTATACAAGTTAACATTACAAGATAAGAATATTACAGTAATTTCCAAGAGAAGTCTTATTTTATAGATATAAGAACATCTACAGTAAGTATGTTTCTCATACATTGACAAAACTCAAGCCAATCACCAACCCTTGGCAACCCTAAATCAGAAAAGCAGAATTACAGGTAATGTTAATTTCTTCAAGTAGTAATGAGACTATTACTAGAAAGAGGCAAGACTTTGAAACACTGAGTATTCCCCAAGAAGTATTACCACTTTAAGTCTCCTTTTACTCAAATCTAAAGATCAAATCAGCATTCTCCTTTACAAAGCATACAGATTTATTTTGCTTCTGTATTTCAAATTTCAAAGAAATACAAGTAACAAATGAGTTGAGAATTGTCTTTTTTTTTTTTTTTTGTTATTATACAACCCTACACAGTCTTTCCTTTTTTCTTTCTTAAATACTGATGCTAGAAGTTATAGAAAGAAATTAAAGCAGATTACTATATGAATGTTTTTCAAGCTTACCACAGCATCATGTCCAGGAGACAATATACCCAGAAGAGAAGAAACCTTTCTACCAATTCCAGAAAACATGCCCTGACCCTGAGGCAGGGCATGCTGATGAATCTTGCCAGAACTATCCGGTATCAGTCGAACTAGCTGGCCTCTAGAAGATGATAAAACAAAGCTTCCTCCCTAACAAAAAGAGAAAAACAAATATAATAAAAATATAAAAATCACATTGCTGAAACAATTCTATTGTCACAAAATGCTTTATGTCAGCTCATACGGGTAAATACTAAACAAGAACAAGACACAAGGCATCCACAGTATTGGGAGCTAACACAGAAAATTAAAAAAAAAAGCAAGCAAACATAAAGACTGTTTAAATAGATTTTCCACGTTATTCTCTATGTTTGAATCAGTGTGGTGTACAGCTCACAGTATATTTTTAAAATTTTAAACCATATTTTTGAAAAATATTAAAAGAAAATATATTTGATCAATCTCTACAGGCACTACTACATGTAACATTTATATGTTGATTCATGAATTAACATACAATTTCCATGTGTACATTTAAAACAAAGTGTTTTTAAGCATACTAAATTTTTTTTTTTTAAATAGCATCCTATCCTACAGGACACTAATCTAAATGAACAAATCTTCCTTCTGTTATGTCAACACACACCAAAAAAACCCCACCATCATTTTCATCATAATACTATATGAAAATTTTTCTAAAGGTTAAATATGCCCAGTAACAGGATGACTAATTAAGTAGTTGTCATATACATAACACAGCTTTAGAACACTGATTAATAAAAGGGTTCTGCTCTGAAAAAAAAAAAAATCATATTGATAACAGTGTTTCAACTACAGATGTAATAAGACCTTGCTTTCCTCATCCTGATATCTGATACTTGGGCACAATTCGGCTCTAATAGGGTAGATACATATTAGTGTTTCTTAACATTTGTCATTAAGATCACTGTCTTCTGATTAGGTTTACAAATGTTTATGACATGCTGATGCTCTAATATTTATAATACAGGATATGAACAGCAGATGCTGAAAAGGTCATGAGATAAAGTGTAATTTAATTGATAAGTAGTTCTGAAGATAATACATACTGTAACACATATTGAATTTTGGACGTATTCATTTTGAGAGTTTTCCCCATTTAGGCACATCAAAAGCAGAAAATGGAATTTCTTAGAACAATTCATAATATACATGTTCACCGCTTTCATACAGTAGTCTCTCAAATTCAGTCAATAGTGAGCTGTACCACAAGACATTGAGTGCATGGTCTGCAGATTCAGATGAACTAGTTCTCTGCTTTTGTGACAGCAGCATTTCTACCACTGGAAGTAATCACAGTAGCAATACCGATACTCCTCATAGGCTGAGGTACCAACCAGTCCTGTTAACCTTGTGGTTGAATCCTGCATGCTTCACTAACTTTAACATTATTGTTTATAACTACCATTCATATCTGCTACTTAAGATCATCCCAATTATCAATAATCTCTGAAATTACTCCTCAGGATACTCTGCTTTGATACTTTGCTTTGCAACATTTATTGGAGATTTAGGACTGATAATGTGGAACATGCTTTTTAATTTTTAAATAAGGAATTAAAGCAGTATTTTAATATAAATCATACTGTACCGTACCTTTACTGATGTTAGGAAACTGCACAGAGAGCCTCCAAAGTCTGTAAAAGTCTCTGTATAGGAACCTTCATGTGCAAGATTGGGCCAGTAGCGCACAGAACCTTCACTGGTAGCAACCATTATTGCCAGAGACTTGAAGTGAGAAAATAACAGAACATGCAAGATAATAATAATAAGACTGCAGCTTTAACTAAAACATGTTATTTTACATATCTAGACTGTGGGTTACATACAAAAAAGTAGTAAATACATATGGGTGCACACTGACAAACCTAGAAATGAGTTGCAAAACGATTCTGTAGTGTAACTTAATATGTGCAGGGAATGTTATACTTGCTTATTTTGCTAAGAAAAATATTTTCTACTGGTTCTTATTCCTGATAATTCAGGGTCTGCTACTGAAATTCAAACAGAACTTACAGTTGCAATACAGAAAAGAGCCTGTAGAGAATTCCAGATGCCAAGAGTTATAAGATACTATGAAAGACTTAAAATGCAAACTGTAATTTAATAAAGAAACTGCTCTAGTGTCATTAAGAGAAATACTAAATCTTACTGTGGCTCTTCTCTTTATAAAGACATAAGCCCACAATGTGCCCACATTAGGTTTTCTGATTCAGGAAATCACTCAGATACCAAATTCAAAGCATGAAGCAAGAGACTTTGTTCAAATTGAGATTTAGACAGAACAGATCTGTAGCTGAGAGCTGTTATTGAGCTCCCTGGTGTTTTCTGATTTTTGATTATAGACAGATCTTCACAAAGGAAAGCAGTTGGCTAAAGAACATCATAACAAAGCATCACCACAGACTGCATTGTCCTTTGTGATTCCTGCTCATTATTTAACAATTTGCATTTTAGCAAAATATTTTCTATTGGTAATATTTATACTTCAATCTATTAAATCATAGTATCCATGCATAGCTCACATGCTGAAGAAAGATGAAATTAAAAAAAAAAAAATAATCTTGGTTTAGGTGTATTATTTCCTCTTAAACTTTTTTGGATATGACTAAGTCATAGAGGATTTAGAGTTTTATGAGCTAATCACAAGATATTAAGATTGCTTTTCATCATCTGGAAGTCTAACACAATAACACGTCAAAAGAAAAGATCCTATCACATATTCTCCTTCTTCCTTCCAAAGACAACTGCTTACCCAGTTTTATTAAAGCACCACATATAACAACTGAAAACTATACCCAAGCTGAAAATGAGAACTTCTTTTCTTCACGAATGATAGAACAGACACATTAACATACTTTCAGAAAACTTAACTGATCTTGAAACCTCACCCTCTAAGACAGTATGTTACGAAAATGCACTTAGGAAAATAATCAGTCAAGACAGATTAAATCATCTGTTCTCACAGTGCCAGCTTCCTTATAAAGACCAGCCAAGGCAGGGTGCTGGTGTTTGCTTCTCATTCAAGTGTACCCTGAATGAAATCTGCTGAACAACTTTTTCAGCCAGCATGCATTTAAATTGCACTTGCTTAGAGCGAACATTTGCCCTGCTGCTTATTACCGCAATACTTCTTAGTTTACTGTATTTTTGTTTGTTATGAAAACACACCAAGTAATCCTTAGGAAAACTACTATTTAATCTGATCCTTTAACATGTAAATGGTCATTTGAAAAGACTAGCAGGATTTTATTTCAAACATATTTATTGCAAACTTGCAGTCCTGACCTTTTGAATACATAGTACACCAGCAAATGCAGTTTTCAAATGAGAACTTGATAAAACAGCATATACTCAAAGTTACTCTAGAAGTATATTTAAACACTAAAATTTAGCAGTAGATCACCTGCAGAGAAGGTGCTTCACCTGAGGAACTGAGACAAGATATAGCTGCTAAACTAGAACTCCACTGGAAGTCACTGGGTGGCAGCTGCAGTTCCTTGCACAGAGATAACTGTAAGAAAGAGATGCCACAATAAATACGAGACCAAAAGAACTTATTCCTCTGCCTCAAAATCTTTAGACTTTTTGACCCTGTAAAAATTAATTTTCAACTAGCTCAGACACTGTATAAACAAACCAAAAGAATGTGACAAGACATTTTCAGCAAGGTTGTCACAACCAGCAAAGAGCTAAAAAACACCTACTTGTGTATTTTCAAATATCACTGTTTTTCTTGAGTTATTTCTGAGTGTTTCTCAACTCTACAATATTGAATTACTTCTTTCAGAGGTGCAATTACTTGACCATTCCTTAACAGATTATGCTAACAAGGCAGTAAAACAAAATTAAAACTAGAATTGCTTGAGAAAGCTCACTAGGTACTAACAGATTGGAGAGGGGAAACGCTCCTCCCTCCCCCCACAAAGGTGAACAATCAGAAGAATTTTAATCCCTTGAAGAAATCTCTGCAAGTACCAGAATGCGTATATCTGCCACTCCACTGTAAGTGCAGAATCTGTATAAGTAACTGACATTGCACTAATCGAAAAATATTGATTTTGTAACTGCAGGTTTCCTCTGACCACACTTGCTATTCATTGACATGATGCTGAAAGAAACACTGTCCAGAGGGCAGAAAAATTTCTTGACGTAAGAAACCTAGATGAAACATATGTTCAGCACAGACAAAACTTTTTTTTTTTGACAAGTTGAAAATCAGTCCCAGAATAATGTAAACCAGTCTGTAACATATCAACTAGTTTTTAACTATTAGAAGAAGCTTTATCAAGACTATCTAACATGTGACACACGTATTAAACTGCAAAGAATTAATCTTAGTGTTGGGGAGACAATTAAAAATGAAAAGAGGAATATAAAAACGTTAAGCTCCCTCAAAAGTTTGAGTTTCAGTTACTGTTGTTAGTGTGACTCCATACCAATCCTGCTGCTTTTGGGGGAACCAGACAAACTCCAATTTATAAAGAAAAAAACACAACCTCTGCAACTAGCATAATGTACAGAAATTTTTGCATCTTGATCTTTCAGTTACCTTAGCTACTGGAGACTGACCAATCTTCCAAATAATCAGCCTCTCTTTATGGACTAGCCAGGCCCATCCACTTTCATCCACTTGAACGCTCAGCTGGTCATTAGCTACATAAAAAGTAATTTTTTTTTAAACATTCAGATTTTTAAAACGCTGCAGAGCAACCTTAAAACTGATAAACTTTCATTCTCATATGAAAATAAGAAATATACTTTCTATTAAATTCCATGCTAGAATTTTGATGTATTTGATCAAGATACCAAATTACTACATATAATTTAAAAATCCATTTGACAAACACTCAACTTTTCTGAATGAAAAGCAAGACAATCCTAGAAGATATTTTCATCAATTTACACCAGATTATAATAGATTATTTAATTGCTTGGCAATTTTTAAGATGATTTTTAAGATACATATTTTTTGTTCCTCTTAAATCTACTATAGAAAGAAAACTTATCCACAGGAAAAAAAAATGCTTAGGAGACCAATTTCTTGAACTCATGGAAAGGTTTGTATCATTGGGGCTTTCAGAAGTGATAACAAATGTGGATTAAAAATATATTAAATAAAATTAGAGCATCCACTCTAGGATACAACAGAATCAAAACAAGTGAAAAAGCTGAGAAAGAACTAATTAGCAAAAGTTACTAAAAACAACTACTCTTTATAACCTTGGATTTTATGAGATATTGGTTAAGACAGCACCTGATGGATATTTACATGCATCCATACCCACATGGGCATTATTACAATTATAGTTATGTAGGTAACCACACTGGATTCAAACAAGGCACAAACATTTCCATTTCCACTGTAAAGTCAGCATTTAAATGGCATCAATGTGTTAACACTTCTCTCAGCTATCAATTTTCATAAGAAAAATAACAGATAAAATCAGTTCTTACCATCAGCCTTCTTTAGGGCTTCCATAACCTTAACAGGCAGAGAGGATCCAAAAGCCTTAACGTCATAGTTGACAGTCTCACTTGCTGAGGGATGCTGGATAACTCTGGTAGGAGTTGCCCTTAAACAAACCCAAAATGTTAGTCTTTTGTTGTTTCTTCATCAGTTTCAACAGACATTTAGTTATTATCTATTTAGAAACAGATGCGATGAAACGGGTTTATGTAAAATAAACATGCTCCCTCTGGGAGCACCATCTAAAGCAGTAATTTGGTGGCCTCCTTACAAGTTGTTAGTTGTCAAATTCCTTTATTTTTTCAAGAACTGACTTGAAATATGCATTCCTCCGCCAGCAAAAACATCACTGTTCAACTTCTCTGTACTCTGGTTATCTACAGAATAAGGCTAGCCACAATGCCAGGAGAACCTTAAGAGGTTCTCCCCTGATCCCATGGCCTGTTTCCATCTCCAGCTCTGACACTGCTGCTGGGCACGATGCACTGTGCAACACTGAACACCCGTGGCAGCTTGGATGAGCTAGCACTTCCACTGCTCTTGTTTTACTGGGGAGACTGAAGTCCTTATGCATTTCAGTCATTATTTTTTTCATAATGTAATTTAGAAAATCTGCTTTGCATCTTCCGCCACCTTCTCTCTCTGGAACAGCATAGGTCTGTCTTCTCTTGTGAACATGTTTAAGTGGGTAAATTTCTCTGCTTTTAGAAGATACTGCCCTCTCTATATCTCCTCACGAGTAAAATGACTCCACAGACCTCCCCAGTGTGAAATACCAAAAGATGATGATACACTGCTAGAAGATAAGCCTGACACCCGGTATGGAAAAACACCATATTAAATAGACCTGAAGTAAAAGTTTCCCCAAATCGAAAAAAGGCAGTCTTGTTGTTGAGATAAACAACTAGCTGACCCTGAGAAAAGAGATTCTGAATCCCTGAAATTGATCTGGTGCTCATGTTAAATCTGAGGTTTGATTCATATGGAAGGTAGAAAGAGGGTAAGTGGGCAGGGAGGGGTAGGGAGATGCCTAAACTTTTACTATTTTATCTACTTTTTAAATACAGAGGTTCTTATTATTTTCATATTTTTCCTATATTAGGGATACATCTGAGGAACACTCAAATTCAAATGCTAATGAGATATTTATAACACTGATCATGTGGTATTATATATTTATACTTTTAATGTATAATACCACTTTTAAAGAACCTTAAAAGTGTTCAACTATAAAATGTTTCAGTCAAAATTCGCTACCATGAGAAGTGAGTATATCAAATATCCTACAAATGATTTGAGAACACCTAAAAACCCACAGACTAACAGGCTTACTGCTCCTGTATGAAAATATATGAACAAAATGAGTAAACATAGATTAGTAACTCTCACAGATTTTTTTCTCTTTCATACCGAAAAGTTATGTCTAGAAATTTTATCAAAATATGCTGAAAAAAAGAGTCAGTGTATACAATCCAGGCAATATTAAGTAGTTAAATCTCCCCAAATCTTTCAAGAACATCCCTTAACAAAGATTCCCGAAGAAATCAAGCTGGGAGATATGAGGAAAAGTCTTACTGTAGACCAAACTCTGTATAAAAGAAAGCAATAAGCAAAAATAATACTGAGGAAATAAAGGCTAATTTGTACACCGCAGGAAAGGTTCCATTCTATCGATCTGCACACGTGTCTAAAATCTTCAGCACAGTCATAAACGAAGCCAACTATCAGAGTGGCAGTGCCTTGACAGTGCAATGTTATTTAGGACAAACAGCAAACAGAACATCCGAGTGACTAAATACACAATAAAAGGCGGAACAGAAAACATCGTGACAACTCTACATAGAGCTGCTTGAGTACTAGGATGACCTAGCGCACAGACATCTCAAAAGACGTTGTAGAAAAATCATTGAAAAGAGATTTAAGGACGATGAGATACTGCGTCTCTTACAAACATCCAACAGAAAAACAAATGGTAAAACTGTATTCGTGAAACAGCAATGTTGCAGCCTACAGTGGCTTGAGCATATAAAAACGAGGCAAGGTTTGCCAAGAGAGGCGAAATATTTTGTTAAACCTTCTTGTACAGGTGAGGCACGGGAGCAATATAATCTAAATGCCGACTATTACACCTGACCAAACGCCGCTTTCCTCCCTCCTTTTACTCGGTAAGGCCTGAGGGAAAAGCCTGATGAAGGAAAAGCCTCCGTGCCTGCAGCCGGGTTTCGGCTGTGTTCCTAGGAAGGTCCCCGCAACCCCCGACGGCGGCGCCCGCCACGAAC